AAGAGTGAGGCTTGTATGGCTGAAGCGAGGGGTGTGAGCACAAAGAATGGTTGAAGTTGACCCCGTGTAGTGCATGAACTTTTGGTTGAATCTTTGATGTGATTGCAGGTATGTTTGGTGGTTCGGACTTTGGATTTGACTGCCTGCGATCACTTAAGTATATATAGCTGAGAGGAGTCCCACTGTGATTGTGAGAAGTGATCGTCACATACTTATAACCCTCTCTATATATGTACATACATACGCGTTGGGTGTTCGCGCGACCTATTGTGACCGTGCGCAAGGGTTAAACAGATTATACTTTGAGAGAAAAGGGAGATTCCCCTTTCATCCTTTTCGCTTTTTAGAATTTTATAGTTGGACGTTATAGTCCGTGGCAACCGTCAAAGTCAAACCCCTTGAGTTCTCTCCACGCCCTGGATGGTGGAGCTGGTCTCCAGGGCAATAAGAGACGATTGCAACCACAGGTATGAACCTGTGTACCACCCACTCTCCACAGTGTGCAGAAGAGGGTGTGGTAATCAGTCGCCTTGGGGGTTGTCTAGCGTCGAGAGATTAATCCCTCAAGGCACGTATCAGCCGACACTTGAGTGTCGAAATGTGACCCGCGAGATCATCGAGAGTTGCATGATTTTGGGTACTACACAGTACTCCATCGTAACCACTGCTTGCGTATCCTTGCATGGCTAGTCGATATGAGAAAGCCCTGCGCCCGCGTGATTTTATCTTAAGTCTCACGCGCGACGCCTAATCGACTTCCATCTTGAAAGGTTATGGGTCGGACACTGAAAGGACTAGGAGTGTTGTTGTGTTGTTGTATTGTTTGTTTTGTGTCCTTCCGTATGTGTGAGTGTTGTGGTGTAACGTGTGGTATATAGGATGCGTCCTAGTCGACCGACGACGAGTCGTGCTTGGGACCTCAGCCCCCCAATGCATCGATTCGCGTGCGGGTCCGATTGAGGGGCGTTGACCGTGCGTACCCTCTATGCTACAGCGAACGAGAAACGCCCTCGGTCGGGCCACCTCTGCGATTGCATACGAAAAGCTTTCGCACGTGGTTCGGTAGCTCGGCGGGGATACGCCCACCCAAGGGATGGTGACAGCTCCCGCGGGTGGAGGTAAGACGTGCCTCGCTTGGCCCTATCCTGTCGTAGGGGCTCGCGAGAGGTGCGACTGGTGCACTCGGTCGGAGCGGCAAACCGCGCTCTACGACGAAGTCCTGCAAAATCCTATGTGACGCAGCCGGGAGGGTCCCCTTTTTCGGGACTTATGCGCTCGACACCGCCCCTCACCTCTGCTAGCAATTTTCACCTTGTTGCCAGTTCTTTTTTTTTTTTTTTTTTAACAGGTCCTTATGGTCCTAGCTCCATATTCCCCAGGCAGGTCAAAGACTCAAAGTAGCAGTATTACGTCATATACCCACTCACACATCCTTCTATCTGGCCGAAGGATCAGCATTGATTGCTCCACTTGGTGGAGGATTGACTGCCAGCTTGCCTTTCCCTGTGATTCCTCTCAGAGTCTTCATCAGAGACCCTTATGTGTCTGATCTCCCTATCAACAACACCGGTTGGGGCTTCTCCCATGTCTACGAATTCCACCAGTTGATTCTGAACTCGGGGCGGTATAGCTTCCTCCTCCTCGTTGTTCTGGCTAACCGGTTTGACATAAGCAGCAAAGACTTGGTCAACAAGATCCTACTTGACCACATGCCTAGCGAACAGGGGTGCACTAATGCAACACAAGGGGCACAGACTGGACTCCGGACTCATGAAAGAGTCTGATTTTCTTTCTCCCAACTTGGGGACTGGGCAGCCAACACTCGTGCTCGCCCATCCTCACATCGGCCCTTATGGCCTCTCCCCAATCTGTCCCTAACATGTCAAAGGGTAGGTTGTCCTCCACTAGAAGGGTCGGAGAATGCAGTACCTTCTCACTCTTCTTATTCTCCCCCTCCAACCGGAAGTATGCCTTAACCCCCTCAACAAACTCATCCACTCTCATCCCTCGATTGTCTGCCTGTTTGCTCACAACCGGGTCCTCCAACTTCTGCGCTTTCATTCTTAGGTGTAGTTTCTTCAGTCGTTTTCTACTAATATAACTACGCGTCGAACCAATGTTCACTAATGCTCTTTCATTCTTAGGTGTAGTTTCTTCAGTCGTTTTCTACTAATATAACTACGCGTCGAACCAATGTTCACTAATGCGCCTATTCTAGTTCTATTAAACCACCAGTACTTGGCCCAGCTATCGATGTCGAGCTTGGAATGCCCCTGCGTGCCAATTTTCGCCGAAAGCGCCGGGGTACCGTTTCAATTTTTTTTTGGCTGGCGCTTCCAGCCATTGTGGTCGGGTACCCCGAAAGCCTAAAGGCGCGGCGCGTTAACGGGAAAGCTCCGCGACCGATAGCTGGGCCAAGTACTGGTGGTTTAACCTCTACATCTGCTAAGATTAACTGCCATTTTGACTCCTTCGTCTAGGCCGAAGCTTGGTGGAGAGTGAACAGTTCGTCCCCGATGTCTGTGAGGGAACCACCTAGAGAGACCCTCACACAAGCGGTCTCTGAACATTCAACTAGGTGGGGGCCAACATTAGCCTTTGCCATTGCGCACCTCAGACAAGAGGTATCTTCTTCAGATCGTGCTTCTTCCTGTCTATAAAAGTCTAAGGCCCCAGTAGGAGCAGCCACGACTCCTACTGGCCATTCACGTTTGACGGTCTGCGTACCTCCGGACAAAAGGGAATGATGTGGTTGGGGTCTCCACACTTCAGGCAATGCCTGACTTTCACTCATTGACGCCAGACCGCTTCCGACATCTTCATGGCAACCAAGGGCTGTCCTTCTTCACGACCCGGATGTCGAGGGTACCTACACTGTCCTCTGTACCCCTGACCACTATTGTTGAAGTGGGCATAGTTGCCCCCTCCCTCTTGTTGGTAAGCGGGGGATGTCTGGCCACTGTACAGGGTATCATAGCCTCTACCACCCGCTTGGAAGCCCCTTGGCCTCCAAACCCCTGAGTGGCCTGTCCCCGGCCTCCACCTCTTCCTCCTCAGCCTCCCCTTCCTCGGCCTTCTCTTCGCCCTCCCCCTTGGGCTGTTACGGTCGTATAGTCCTCCTACAACTACTTGACCTTCCCCAAAATCTTGCTCATAAAGGTGACCGTAGTCCATCTCTTCGAGGGGAATCTCTTCTGGTCCTCCCCCCTCGAACGTCACCAAGAGTTTATCTGCGGCATGCACATTTCGAGAGATCATCTTGCCCTTCCATTGCTTTCCTCTCTCAATATCTTTGTAGTAATAGTTTGCCTGCGCCAGCAATCCCCATCTGTCCCACGCTTGCTTGTTGAAATCAGCATAGTTGCCCCCTTCTACAGCAACCTCTGCGGACATCTGGGACAGAAGGGGCTCAGGCAGGCCCATGGCAAAATGCTCAAGGACCTGACGAGGTGTCACTCCGTGGTCTTGGACCTGCAGCAAGTCGTCCATGTATGCCTTCAGGGCGGTGACACTCTTCCAATTCCCCCTTTGCACTCTCAATTTTTTTTATGCAATTCTCCTTCCCCTTCCCTTATCTTCTAAACGTTTGTATAGGGCCTCTAAGTAGACCTCTAAGGGGGTGATGCGAGAGTACTCAGCGATATCACTCCCGCACTCCGCATTGGCTATGAGAGAACTAGAGTAACTTGCTGCCTCGCCGCCTAGACAAGAACCTGACGAGGTGTCACTCCGTGGTCTTGGACCTGCAGCAAGTCGTCCATGTATGACTTCAGGGCGGTGACACTCTTCCAATTCCCCCTTTGCACTCTCAAATTTTTTTATGCAATTCTCCTTCCCCTTGGCTTATATTCTAAACGTTTGTATAGGGCCTCTAAGTAGACCTCTAAGGGGGTGGTGCGAGAGTACTCAGCGATATCATTCCCGCGCTCCGCATTGGCTATGAGAGAACTAGAATAACTTGCTGCCTCGCCGCCTAGACAAGAAGTGGCAAGCATGACTCGTCCCGTCGGTGATACCCTTTGGCTGTGGACATAACTTCTAACGGCCGCTTCCCACCGCAGGACGTTCTCATCTTTCTTCCCATTTTAGGTCTAGGGCATCTTCAACTTAATCTTATCCCTGGCCTCTTCATCGTCTGACTCCTTTCGCTCCTTCCCTGGTCTTCTTCCCTTCTTCTTGTCCTCACCGTCATCATCTCCACCATTAGGGGGGCAAGAGGTTTCTGATTTGGTGCATTGCCATCTCCTGCCGTGGTAGTTCCAATTTTAGGATTAGCCTTAGAATCCATTTCGTTTGGAGGATTTTGTATTTCGTTGCTGGGTTTGTTGAATAGGATGACAGGTCTTTACATCCCTTATAGGTAAGGGGCTAGAGTGAAGGTGCAATCTACTTTGAAGTCTGAAGCTCTTTTCCTTGGATATCTCCCTCTAGGCAAGGTGAAGGTCATTGTGATAACTGGAGAAAGAAACAAGTACCTGCAAATCCAGGATTGCTTTGTGAAGGCTCTCATTTTTCATTTCCCGCAGGATATGCATGTTCTGTTTATCTTATTGGTCTCTTTATACAGCGCACCTGGAGGACTAAAGAGATTGTACCCGAGTAGGTTGACACACAATCCTGTCATAGCAAAGGGTTTAGTATAATTCCTCACATGAAGTGTGTATTCTGTTTACCTCAATGAAGTCCCTTCGCAAAGTGTGCCTGCAGTACTCGGGGGCTGATACTCGAGTAAGTCGATGGTGACCTGTAATCCCCACATTGTGAAGGATTTCTTGTAATTCCTGGCATGCAACGACTGTTCTATTTGTCTCATGGAAGTCCCTGGATTGTTTTAGGAGTGCTTTTTTTTGTGGATGTTTGGTTAATTTTAGGTTTTGCGAGTGCTGCTGAAGGAGGTCCTGCGGCTGATAAAGTACAGACTGAGCCCAGGTACACAAAATGTCACAAATATGATTGGCACTGAAAGGCAGTATCCTTCACTTGCGGTGCGTTACGTGCAGGTGACATCATTTGCAGAGGCCACAATTGAATTCCGGGATCGCATGATGCAACAAGGCCCTGGCACTGTGACAGATCTGGATGAAGGGCTTGAACTGATGAAGAAGTTCCAGGTACGGATTTGCTGCCCCTGAAAAGAAAAAGGAAAAATCAATCGGTATCACCAACAGCATCACAACACTGCTCTGCAGGAAAAACACTCCTGTTCCGGTCAATACAAATAATGCAATTATTGTGATTTCTTAGGACAAAGTCCGACGAAGTTCAAAAAGCTATTGGCTTTCAAGAAATTAAAAAATGACTGGGACTCGGTGGACTTTTTGTGCAATGCATTGTACTGGTAAGCACACTAGGCAGCACTCATGAGGCCTGGATGAAACTGATTCCCGGCCTGTGCTAACAACGGACGCAAGGGAGGATGTGATGGAGGAGCCAGAGTGCAATGGAAGAGGAGGGAAGGGCAGAGGGGAGAGAATGCACCGCCACAAGGCAGTTGCAGTGGAATCAGAGGAGAGGGGGAGGAAAACTATGACAGACAGGTTCGGGGTATGATTAAATGAGTAGAAAACGGAGATGAGGTATGACTGGATGTGGAAGTAGGTGAATCTGAACAGCGTTATCAGAGTTAAGGAGCGAGGAGAAGCAAGACCCGACTTTCACAAAACTCAGGGCAGGAGAAACAACAGATGACCCAGGAATTAAGCACGGGCAGAGCAGTGGTACATCCTTCCCAAGAGGAGGTAATCGATGCTGCTGTCTCAGGATCTCCCGGCCATAAAGAGGCATGAGGTTCATGATCGCTGGGCCCAGTTTTCAGCTGTTATAATAAAAGTGCAAATTGCCAAAAAAAGAAAAAAAAAGTGGACAAAAGTCACAAAACTTCACAAAAGCCGTGGGAGATTACTCATGACTGTGTCCATAAAGGAAACAAATCAGAGAAGCATCATATAGTCTTATAGCTTTGAAAGCACTCCAAATAATAAACAGCTGAGAGGGGCACAACTGCACCAGGATCAACGGCAGGCGGGTACCTTGGCCAGTAAGAAAGACAGAAAAGATTCAGGTTCAAAGATCCAGTTAGGAGAATTCTGTTAGTCAGTGGAGACACAACAGACTAACCCCACTGCAGACCTCAGACCTACCTAGAAGCAGGACTTAACTGATAGGAATGCCAATTGGCTCTAGATAGGTAAGTATAGAGCGGTGCCCTCTTTCCTTAGGATGTATCAAATAACACTAACCAAACCAAGGGCAGTAGTGGTCTTCTATTCCAAATAGGTCGGCTAGGGTTTAAGGCTTTAGCAAGACTCGCAGCAATTTTAACTTGGCGGGGGAATAGGAACCGGACTGACGCGCTGTGATGACCCACCTGAGATTCGGCTAGCATGTGATTCGCATGCTTTGCGCCATGAGGATTATGAAGGGATAGACCATGCAAGTTTTTGTTTTCATATGTATGATGAGAGTCAATACTGCACGGAGTGAAACCTTTTGGAGCGACTGCGCCGTACCGGTGAGCGCATGCGATAATTCGGAAGGGCGCGCACGACGCGAAGTCGGGCGCGAAACTGCCGCACAATTTTTTCTCCTTTTTCGAACACGCGATTCTGTGCGGGAAAGTGAACGCGAGGGCGAGAAGCCCCCACACGACGCCACGCCACGCCTACGGGCATGGCCACATGAAGAACGGAGAAGACAAGGGGGAAGAGAGAGAGGAGAGTGGGGGACAAGGAGAGTAGGAACAACCGAATGAACAGCGTGAAGAACGACTATAAGCAAGAAAAGACAAGGGATGGAAGTGGACTCAGGAAGAGGACGAAAGCAGGAGTGGAGCAATGATAGCAAGGGAGTGAGGTCGAGAAAATTTCGGCAAGCGGGAGGACAGGCACGTCTGGACAGGGAGCAGGATTCGGTAAAACCTCTTATGCAACGCATCCCCACATCGCGCAAGTTCAGAAACCCCCCAAGAATTCCTACGGTAAGTTAAAGCCCACTCAAGCATCACTTCCAACCGCACCTGGCGCGAGGGACAGTGGAGGGACAAGAACCCAAACGGCGGCGAAGGACATCAGCAAGAACGAAAGGGACAAGCGCTCGAGGACTCCCAGTCAAACCTAGGAATAGCAATCAGGAAGACGAGAACTGCAAATCGTAGAACCAAACATTACCAGAGCTAACAACAGATATCCTACCGCCTAGCCAACACCCAAACACATGTAGAGGAAGTACAAACCACCAATAGCACTCCGTGAAGCGACCCAGATCTGCCTTTCCACCCGCCGTTTCCGGCAGTCACGTTCCCGGGCAGCGACGATCCCTACTCTCCCGGCTCAACCTAACACCGTGCAACCCTCCACTCCAGCCCCAGCCCCACTGCCTTCTACTCAATCTCCCCAAACTCTCCCCACCCCGTCCGCAGTCCTTTAATAATTAGTCCCCCACCCACCCTCCATACGAGTCGGTCCATTCACTTGCGCTTAAATATTTCTTAGCCAAGCCAATCACTGTCCACCCACTTACCCTCCCGTCTTTATCAGTACATCATCCCCCCATCACACCTCCTTCTGGCCCTCGCTCCCTTCCCATACCTCATTCCTTATGTCTTCGTCCCCCTGGCCCGACCTTCCTCTCTCTGATCGTAATCAAGTGCATCCTTCGCCCCCCCCTGTACCTCTCGCCCGTTATCGATCCAACCACCATCACAGTCGCGATCGCCCCTCTTCTCGCTCCCTTTCGAATAGCCCTCTCTTCTCCCTCGCTCCCTTCCCATACCTCATTCCTCGTCTTCGTCCCCCTGGCCCGACCTTCCTCTCTCTGATCGTAATCAAGTGCATCCTTCGCCCCCCCCCTGTACCTCTCGCCCATTAACGATCCAACCACCATCACAATCGCGATCGCCCCTCTTCTTGCTCCCCTTCGAATAGCCCTCTCTTCTCTCTCGCTCCCTCCCCATACCTCATTCCTTACGTCTTCGTCCCCCTGGCCCGACCTTCCTCCCTCTGATCGTAATCAAGTGCATCCTTCGGCGCCCCCCCTGTACGTCTTGCCTGTTATCGATCCAACCACCATCACAATCACGATCGCCCCTCTTCTCGCTCCCTTTCGAATAGCCCTCTCTTCCCCCTTTCCCCCTCCCTCCACTAATGCCCTCCTGACCCCCGCTCCTTACTCCTCCCCTTCTTTCCTCCCTGCTCCCTTGCTTCATTACCAGTATTTACACGAATTATTAGTCCGCCCCCCTCCCTGTTTTTCCCACCTAGCCTCCAATCCATCACCCATCCTTCCGCCTACCCACATTCAAGCTGTCGAATCCTTTCCAAACCTTTCCAAACCTCTTTCCCAAGAATCAAACCGCCCGACCGATTATCTCTCGTGATTGAGTATCCCCCTCCTTCGGGCATCCACAAGCAAAACTCCCACCTGTCCTCTTGTCTCCTTACCCACGATCTACTTCATCCCCCATCCATTGGTCCATCTCTTGCGTAGACCCTCGTCCCCGCTTCATCCGATCTACCTCCTACCCAAGCGTCTTCTGGATCCCCTCCACTCAGCTCGCCTTTTCCATTCGCCTTTCCCAATCACCTCACTCATTCTGCTCCCATCTCACCCAATCCTCGATCGTCCACATTTCGACTCTCACCCACCCGCACCCGGAGCCCAACCCGGCCCATCCCCTATTCCACGTACACACACATACCCAAATACACACACACACACACACACACACACACACACACACACACACACACACATGCACCCTCCGTTGGCAATAAGGCCCTTCCCCCTTCCCCCCCTCTAACTAAGATCCCACTTAGATTGACCTCATTTGACATTCATTATCACTCTATTGAACTTCTCTCACCGAACAGCCCCGCGCCCCTGGCCCCCCGCAGAGGTGTGACGGACGTCATGGTAGGAGAGATAGAAAGGATCGAGGACGTCCTAGAAAAAGATGGCCAATCCAACGCAAACCACGGTCCCTACGGACCAGGAGTCATTGGAAAAGATCGTCAATGTCATTGATAATGAAGCCCTCATATTTTTAATTGAGAAGACGAAAGTTCAAGGTATTGAGTCTACGGAAAAGCAGATAGTAGACGGAAAGGAAGAGGAGGTTGTCATATGGAAATACCCAGAGGAAATATTGCTGAATTGGATGATATGCACGAAAGGCATGGAGTAGTGTTCAACTTTACACGCCATGGAGCAGATCTCCAGCCAGCGGAAAAGAGAAAGTGGATAATCGAAACGATAAAAAAGGAACCGAAACTCAAATAGATCGGGGACACTTTTCTCTCTACAAAAATTGTGTCGAAATAACATTGTGGTACTCTTCATTCATGAAGACCCCCATGGATCGCAGCTGAAATGCAGTCCAGGAACTGTCACGGTTCAGTGTGCACCATTACCAAATGGAAGAAGGTGTCAGTCCAAATACAAAACCCGGTATTTGCAGTGTCCTACAAACAAACTCTGCTGAAAGAGAACTTTTGGGTTCAATTTGACAATATTCAACCTCGATTTCATGGTATGCTGGTCGATAGACTAGAAAGGCAGTATACAGCGAATAAAATTCTTAAATGGATCCTACCGACGCCAGAATTCCTGGCTCCTCACTGTGGAACCATGACAGCAGTTCTCGACGTACAAACAGATGATCCCCCAGTGTTCCCATCAGTCTGGAAGTTCCAGATAGAAAACAAGGTTGTGGAGGTGAGGATATCGACCAGAACCTCCCCGATCTGTTTTCGTTGCAGAGAACGGGGTCATTTGGGAACCGATCCTACTTGCCCCTAGTTCCCAAAACAGTCAAAAGAACGGAAGCTTCCACCAAGCATGTTGGTAGAAGTGGAAGATGCGCCCGACATATGGTTTGTGGCTGACTCCTGCTATGACGGATGGGTCTTCGATGACAATCTAGACGAGCCAGACTGGGTGTGGCAGTTTGCAGATCAGACACCATCTGTCAAAAAACCTGACATCTTTCCTCCAGCAGACAGCAGGTGGCAGAAGAAGGCAACCGGGAAAGTGAAGGGGAATCCAACGAAGATTAGCACCAATCCCCTCACGGACCCACGGGTAATTAGGGAAGAGAAAGCAAGGGAAGATCTGT